TGTGTACCTTGCTCAAGTGTGTATGCCCTGCTCAAGTGTGTGTGCCCTGCTCAGGTGTGTGCCCACTCAGGTGTATGCTCTGCTCAGGTGTGTACCTTGCTCAAGTGTGTATGCCCTGCTCAAGTGTGTGTGCCCTGCTCAGGTATGTGCCCTACTCAGGTGTGTGCCCACTCAGGTGTATGCTCTGCTCAGGTGTGTGTGCCCTGCTCTGGTGTGTGTGCCGTGCTCAGGTGTGTGCTCCCTGCTCTGGTGTGTGTGCCCTGCTCAGGTGTGTGCTCCCTGCTCTGGTGTGTGTACCCTGCTCAGGTGTGTGTTCCCTGCTCTGGTGTGTGTACCCTGCTCAGGTGTGTGCTCCCTGCTCAAGTGTGTGTGCCCTGCTCAGGTATGTGCCCTACTCAGGTGTGTGCCCACTCAGGTGTATGCTCTGCTCAGGTGTGTGCTCCCTGCTCAGATGTGTGCACCCTGCTCAGGTGTGTGCTCCCTGCTCTGGTGTGTGTGCCCTGCTCAGGTGTGTGCTCCCTGCTCAGATGTGTGCACCCTGCTCAGATGTGTGAGCCCTGATCAGGTGTGTGTACCCTGCTCGGGTGTGTGTGCCCTGCCCGGGTGTGTGTGCTCTGCTCAGGTGTACAGGTAAGCCCGTGGATTTATGGACTAAATGCAAACATTGCTGTCCATGGAGAAACATGGAAGGAGCATTGTTACAAACCATAGCGCCTGAGCACTGGTCATGGTGCCATCACTGTATGCTCCGTGACCTCAGAGAGAGAAGGGCTTAGGATCTCAGAACCTGCTTCTCCATCTTTGAAATGGGAAGAACGCCCTCTGCCCTTCCTATGCCACAAGGTTATTTGCGAGGTGCACACGAGGTCCCATTCGCATGAGATGGAGATGGTCGTATGCATATACGACCTTGTGTGATTTTAAGAATGAACGTAAACATGGATCCTCGCATGTGTGAGTAGAGAGGTGGAGGGGAGGTTAAAATGTGTGCCCGGTTTGTGTGGGGATTACAGGTGGTCTCTCTTTCGCCTGTGAATACACGTGTGTATGTTCATGTTGGTGTGTGTGCGAGAGAGAATCTTCCCGTACACTTATACTCTGACACATACGCTTCTGGAGGGCTGGTTTTGAATATTTGAGCATTTGCAAATAGATGGTATGATGCGCTTTTTTCCTAGCGGATGTGCACGCTGCCTGTCTAGAGTGTGTGCTTCTATTTCTATATGCTCCCCATGCTTCTCCGCACTCCCGCCCCCACCTGCGCCTCGTTGCATTGCAGGCTGCCGATGCTGGGGGATGTATTCAGCTGAGAAGCTCATGGGCTTCTCCGCAGTGATGTCTGCACCAGTGGGTGCTTCTGGGAAGCCACACACACATGCCCTGTGGCCCTTCCAAACACCCAGAGGGAGGCTCAGATCAGCTGCCTCTGCTCCCTCCAGTGCCTGCCATACCGGACTGCTCTGCAGACATCTGAGCTGTGGCAGTTGTGTGGTGCTAGTGGACCTAGCATGTTTCCTGTTGGAAGGCATCCATTTTATTAGGGAAGGAGTGTAATCACCAACTTCCCAGCTCGAAGTAGGATCCGCTGGGCTGGACTGGGCCTGTCAGTGCAGTGAGTGGGACCAGGTCACTGCGAGGGCATCCCGGATGCGTTGTCCTCTGCCTGAGCACCTGCCCTGTGTGGACAGGCTCATTTTACCAGGTACCCTGTCTGCTTCGACAGATGCTACCCTGTCACTCTGACCTAGTGCTTGGTAGGAATAGTGTGGTATTGGTAGGTATAGAATAGATTTCTCTCTGTATCAAACTAAGAAGGTCAATACTGTGCTTTACCCACCTGAACAGACTGAACCTCCAAAGCCTCTGGATAGGCCACTGCATGGCATAAATTCAGGGGGCACCGCTCACATCCTGGAGCACACGGGTGGTGGCCTGCAGGATGGTGGCACTGCCTTCAGCCATGGGCTGCTTTGCGGCCTCAACAGTATGCATGGCGGAGCCTTTGTCCCCTGCACGTTGGGTGAAACTAAGTCAGGATCTGCTACGGGAGGGGTGAGCCAGGAGTCCCATCCACGTGAATGTGCTGTGCTATCCTGGAAATGACTCGGGAGGGGGAAATACACTCAGCAGAGTGTACAGGCTTTGTCTGAGTAAAGTATCACGAGAACGAAAAAGCGAGTATCTGATGTACTCAATCCTAATACGAGGCCAGTAGATGAACTGATACACACCCACACAAAGGAAAAACTCAATTCAATCCAAGTTGAGGAGGGGGTCGGAGGGAGGGGGTGCAGGGCAGGGGAGAAGGGGAGGGATATGCTCCCCCTAATGAGCACAATGTAGGGGTACATGACATACCTCCTGGGTGCTGGACACCACTACAACAGGGACTGTGTCTAACAAATGCAAACATTGTAACCTGATCATTTGTACCCTCATATTCATTTGAAATTTAAAAAAAAAATGTTTACAGGATTTCTAGAGGGTATGCAGGTGACAGTGTGAGTGCCTGCAGGGCATGCCGTCTGAGCATCTGAGCTGAGCAGTATGGCCTGGCACGGCCCTGTGTCTCTGCATGTGTGCTTACAAACGAGATCCATGTATTTGCACATAGCAAGGAGCCCACAGTCACTCTGTTGGAGAGTTGCAGGATGGGAATTGCCAGAGGGCGAGCAGGCACACCGAGAACCAGTGGACATGCAGGGGACCTTCTCTGGAAATCTGCTGGTGGCTGTGGGGCGTAAAGTTCCTAGAGGCTAGGGTGAACTGAACCTGTCCGTTTTTCTTTCCCAGAAGAGAAAGAAGGAGAAGACACCACATGTCGATGTGGGAGCCACGCAGCAGCCACCTGTATGTGTGTACCGGTTTGCGTGTTTGTGAGTGGTTACGTGTGGCGTGGGGACAGTGTGTCTTGGTCCTTGCTCTGGACAAAGTGGCACTAGGTGTGCATGTCCGTGTGTGCCATGGTGTGTGCGTGTGTGTTCCGTGCACACGGTCTGTGGGTATGCCCCTCTGCACTTTCCCACGTGTGCTTATTTCAATGTGTGTCTACAGTACATGACCCCGTGTGCCGTTCACTCATCTGTTTGGCCCGAGTAGGCATCTGTTGGTGTTGGTGATTAGTGTTGGGGGGGCGTAACTTTCACGCAGGCAGCTGTGCACAGCTATGCGTGGGCCTCGTGAGGGTGCGTGTGGGTACATGTGTGTGTCCCCTTAGTGTGTAGGTGTGCGCCCACAGGCACAGGTGAGGGAAGGAGCAGGTGACTTCCCTTTGCCCAGGGAGCCCACTCCTGTGTATGCCTCTTGTCCACGTGCTCCTGCTACCACATCAGTGCTCACCAAGACCCCCACACTGAGTATTGCACAGTGGGTTTAAGTATGAGTAGATGGGGGTCTCTGCATGTACATCTGTGGTTTCCATTAGCTACTGTGGCAGAGACCCACAGCTGAGACTTCCTACCAAGACTGCTTGCCACTGTTCTCACCTTTGCTAGTACCAAGCAGCCCTTGTTACTCCAGGCTGTGGTGTGAGAGGGAAAGAGGAGGAAGGGGAGAGGAGGAGGGAAGGTCTCTGACTTCAAATCAAGGGCACCGAGTATGCACAGGCTGATGCCAGGAAAGCAAGGAGAGCAGGAGGTGAAGGTGTGGCAGGCCTCTGTGCTTGGAGCTCAGTCCTGGGCAGATCCTTGCCCCAGCCCTCAGCTGCTGCAAAGCCCCCGGCCGCAGGCGCAGCGGACGACCCACTCACGCGTGGCCCACCCTGTTCCGCACATCTTTCTGTGCTTCCTGTCTGCAGGTCCTGGGCGCTCCCATTTGCTCCCCCCGCCTTGTGTCCCACCCTCTCCACACCCCGGTGGCTGCCCTCCCCGCCCACAGCTGGAGGGTCTAACCGCAGCCCTCGCCTCTCCCCTTTGCTAGGCGGGAGCGGAGGCGCCGACACCACATGTCGGTGTGGGAGCAGCGCACCAGCCAGCTGAGGAGGCACATGCAGATGTCCAGCCAGGAGGCCCTCAATAAGGAGGAGGCCCCGCCGATGAATCCCCTGAACCCCCTCAACCCACTGAGCCCTCTCAACCCGCTCAACGCTCACCCCAGCCTTTACCGGAGACCCAGGGCCATCGAGGGCCTGGCCCTAGGCTTGGGCCTGGAAAAGTGCGAGGAGGAGCGCATCAGCCGTGGGGGGTCCCTCAAGGGGGACGGAGGGGACCTGTCTAGCACCCTGGACAACCAGAGGAGCCCCTTGTCCCTGGGCAGACGGGAGCCTCCGTGGCTGTCCAGGCCTTGTCACGGGAACTGTGACCCAACCCAGCAGGAGGCCGGGGGAGGAGAGGCCACCGTAACCTTCGAGGACAGGGCCAGGCACAGGCAGAGTCAGCGGCGCAGCCGGCATCGCCGTGTCCGGACGGAAGGCAAGGAGTCTGCCTCGGCTTCCCGGAGCAGGTCTGTCAGCCAGGAGCGGAGTCTGGATGAAGCTGGGCCTGCTGATGCGGAGAAGGACCACGAGCCCAGGGGTAGCCACGGGGGCAAGGAGCCAACCATCCAGGAAGAGCGAGCTCAGGATTTGAGGAGGTAACTGAGTCATAGGAGTGCCCTGGACATACGTAGCAGAGGCTGATGTTAGGAATTCTTCAGTGTAAGACTGTCCTAGCTTCAGTTTCCCCTTTTATGAAATGGAGATGGTACTGATGGGCCCTTTATAAGGCATGAGTAGATATAACAGGCTAAGTTATAAGTAGATAAAATAGGATAAGTCCCCCTGAAAATTAGGCTCTGTCCTTCCAGGCCATCTCCTGTTGGAAGTGGGTTGTGGGTAGATGGCCAGAAATACAGCAGCAGATGTGGTCCCAGGTCTCGTCTCTTGTCTTCCTGGCAGGGTGGGGTGGAGGGCAGTGGAGGCCACGTGCTCTCTAACAGCCCGCTTGAGCTGCCCTGCCTGCGCTCCTTGCCAGGCACATCAGCCACTTGGCCAGGGCTTCTCAGCACTCCCACCTCACCATCTCCCATAGGACTAACAGCCTGATGGTGGCCAGAGGATGTGGGCTGGCAGGAGCCCTTGAGGAGGCTGACACACACCCAGGGCTGCCGCACTCCGAGCTGGATGCAAGGAAGGGCACAGCACTCACAGAGGAGCCAGAAGGCAGCAGCGAGCAAGCCCTGCTGGGGGACGTGCAACTGGACATGGGCCGGGCCGTCAGCCAGAGCGAGCCTGACCTCTCCTGCATCACAGCTGGCAAGGACAAGGCCACCACCGAGAGCACCAGTGTCGCTGTCTCCATCCCTGACGTGGGCCCCTTGGTGGACTCGACAGTGGTGCATAGTGAGAGCACATCCTGGTCCCCTCCATCCATCCCCTGTACTGCTGCGGCTGGGGACATCAGCCTCTGGTCATTCTGACAGGCCTGCTCAGAAAGCACCCCTGCCAGAAGTAAATCATTCTTCAGCAAGTAGAAGTTAGTGACAATTGTCTCCTAGTGTGCAGGGCAAAAAATAAGTAAGAGTGTCCCCAGTCTTAAATTTTGCCCCTAAAATTTCCTGAAGCTTTTGGTCCCCATGACCACCCTGGAGTTTTCAGAGTGATCACGTGTAACTTGGCACCCAGTTATGTAGTCAATGAACAGATTCAGTGTACACATATTTGATGGCGTTCCCTGTTCTCTCCAAGGAGCTCTGCTGCCAGGCAAGGTGGGGAGCCCTGTGGATGGTGTCAGGACAGCACTTTCTGGCCCTGGCTCTGCTCAGTGAGTGGCCTCAGAAAAAACCTGTGTCTCTCGAGGCCTCTGTTTGTCATCTGTAAAGTGAGACTGTTGAACTATGTGACCTCCGAGGCCTTTCCCTGTACTAACATTTTATGATTCTATTACTCTTATCAACCCTTTTCTCCTAGGAGCTTTTAGTCACAAGTTCTCTGTTCTCTCCATCACAGTTCACTCAGGCAGCAGATACTAGCTAGGAAACCTTAAAGGGAAGCACAGCAAAAAGGGTGCTTCATCTACTATCCCATCCCTGCCCTGCCTCTCGCCCAGTCCCTGCGTGAATCCCACCTGCGGCCCCATGATCTCGGAATCGTGACCCCCCTGCTGTCTTCCTCCTCCTTTGTCCATCTTCTTTTCCCGTGACGGTCTTCTCCTCTCCTTGTTTTCCTTTCTCCCACTGCTCCATCTCCCTCCCCATCCCTCACATTCTCTACCCTCAGAATGCCCACACTGCTTTAAAGATTGAAACCTCCCATGCCCAGAGATTCCAGAGCCCCAGACTTCAGCCTCTCTTGGTGTCTGCTTTTGTGCCCTAATGAATAAGAAGCGTTTTGGACCTTCTTTGATGAGAAACAACATTAAGAACAACACGCTCTTCCCTCCACTCCCATTTCAGGGCTACTCAGGGCCTTGGGTGAGATAAGAGCATGTTATGGAAGGCTTTGGGATACTGTCTAGGACTTACCTTTTAGAAGGCCCCCCTGTGGGCCAGGACCACAGAGGTCCACAGCTGGCCCAGAGGTCCAGGGTGGAGCCATCACTGAGCAGTCAGCTGACTGAGTCCCTTTCCCCACTCAGATAACCTCAGGCTCTTGCCAACTTAACCCACACTGTGACTTGAGTACAGAAACAGAGCAGCAGCCTAAGAGCGCCACATGACCTCTTCCTCCGTCCTTCCCCTCCTGGAATGCAGTCATGGAGCATATTCACATGAATATTGCATGCTCATTTCTCCATTCATCACGGCTAGAAAAAGCACAGGCAGAAAGGCAGCTGCAAACCGAGTGATAGTTTCTTAAAATCTTCCACTGCAGTGTGAGTTCATTGAAAGGATGGAGGATTTGGAGTTGGGAACCCACACTAGCTATCTGGCCTTAGGAAAATTTCTCAAATTTCCTGCAGTTCAATTTTCCCCATAATAATACATGCTTCTCAGGGTACACTGATGTGAAAATTCTCTAAGTGAATGTATACAAAGACTCTAGCGTTCAGCTGTAAAATCTAAACTTCACAAACTTTACAACAGAAACACCTTTCTATGTACCAGATCATAAAAGTTCCACGGTAAAAGGGGACCCATGATGATTATCGTTTATATGACATAGCAGGCTATTCCTCAAAACATTTGAGTGAGGATGAGGATAAGGAGAGAAGAAGAGTGAGTACCCCAAAGCCTATAGGGATGTCCCCTGGGCCCTTCTTATCTTCTCTGTGCATCCCCAGCTGGGCGCGACGGGGCCATTCCCACACATAGCAAAGTTTCTGAAGATACCATGGTCCTCTTGCAGTTAGCAATAAGACTGATGGAGAAGCCAGTCCCCTGAAGGAGGCAGAGATCAAAGAGGATGAGGAGGAAGTAGAGAAGAAGAAGCAGAAGAAGGAGAAGCGTGAGACAGGCAAAGCCATGGTGCCCCACAGCTCTATGTTCATCTTCAGCACCACCAACCCGTAAGACACCCTGGCACTGCCCTCCCCAGGGGAGGGCCTGGGGACCCAACCCGGGCTGTGTCCTAGGACAGGGTAATGGGGAGAAGAAGGGCCCCTAGTCACTTTCCTGAGCCTTCCCTGTCCAATGTGGCCAGACACTGGGCACCCACTGAGGTGGGTCATTAAGCTAAACAGCCTCTGACCTCCGCCCGTAGTCTCAAGAGTAGCTCAAGGCAGGATAGCATGAGAAACTTTATGAGATAAGGACCTTTTACCTATTCTTTGATCAGGAGGTGGCAAGGAGGAAGGAAGTGACACATTTGAGAATGTGTCACCAAATATTCCAAGAAGTAAGATGAGCCTAGAATGACCAGATCATCCACTGGAATCTAAGCGTTTAGGTCTCACTGGCCTACAGGTAGATATTTGAAATGGGCATGCTTGTCAGAGCAGAGGTAGGGGCATGAAGTAGGGGGGAGGGAAGAGAAGAGTCTGGACAGTTAGAGTAAGGAAGGAGGGAATTTGGAAAGACAAGCTGCCTTCTGTGTTGGCTACGAGTGAGGTGTACAGGTACACCAGCCTCTGAGAGTAGGAAGTGGTCAAGTGAGTGCATTCAGGTGCACTGCCAAGGGAGAAGCCAGGCCTGGGGTTAAGGTATGTTAGGTCATCCATGGTTAGAGAATGTAGAAGATAGTTTGATTAGAATAACCTGGGATTCATGAAAACCTGGGACTGCTTTAGTCAGGAATCTTAGAATCAAGATCTATTTTTATTTTTCTTAGTTATTTATAATTTCCTGGGGATGTCCCAGTTTCCTTATAGTAGGAGAGCAGACCCTGAGCTACAGTGGAGGGCACCTTGTAGCTGCCCGGGTTTGTTGCCTGCTGCTGACTGCAGCTCGTGGCTCAGACGTGCTTGTGGATAATACATCTTGGCTTGCGTGCTGCAGCCTCTAACCAATCTGATTACCTCCCTCCACTGGGGCTTTAAATCAAGGGTGGTGCCCAAGAAATTAAATTGCTCTCCCTGGCAGCTTCCTTTGGCGAGGGAGGGCCTGGCTGTCTGGAAGAGGCTTGTGCCTATGGGGGTGGGGTGGGGAGTAGGAGGGATGGATTTGGGAGGGGAGCGGTCAGCTCAGCAGGGCTCACCCCACCCCACAGGATCCGCAGGGCCTGCCACTACATTGTGAACCTGCGCTACTTTGAGATGTGCATCCTCCTGGTGATTGCAGCCAGCAGCATCGCCCTGGCGGCAGAGGACCCTGTCCTGACCAACTCGGAGCGCAACAGGGTGGGTGCTCAGGGTCCACTTGCCAACCTCTACAGTGCCCTGCCACCTGTCCCATCCCAGCCCCTCCCTCCAGCCGCTGCATCCCAGCACTAGAGGTGAACCAAGTCAGTAGGAAGTGCACTGGGAAATGAGGAAGGACTGAGGAAGGATCTCCTCCTCTCCCTCAGTGTGAAGTGTGAGCTATTCCCGGATCCTTCCCCCTGTGCTGCATGGCCACCCATGTGCTACACTAGGGGTTGGACACCAGATCCAGCCAGGCCCTGACAGACATCTGCAGCCACTGTGGGCTTGCATTCAGCCTAGTGTCAGGAATGATGTATGTGGAGTGTGATTGCAACATTTCTTGGGTTCCCCAAGTCTATGGCAGAAGATAGGAAGAAGGTGAGGGATTTCTAGGTCCTGAACAGCACTGGAGAGAGGAGTTTGTGGAAACAATTCAGACCCAAGAGTTTAAGTTCTGGCCAAGGAAGAACAGCCAAGGACTGGCTCTAGTAGACTCCCTGGTCCTGTCCCTCTTACGTCGGTCCCTCATTCCAGCGGTTTTGATTCCAAGCCTTGGTTCTGAGGCAGAGGTTGGGGGATCAGGGTGGGCTGGCAAGACAGTATGTAGCCGGGTGGCCACACATGGTCCTCTTTCTCTCCACTGTATGTCCTATAGGTCCTGAGGTATTTTGACTACGTTTTCACTGGCGTGTTCACCTTTGAGATGGTCATAAAGGTAAAGCCTCTGAAGTAAACCTGGGCTCCAGGATTGGGATGGGTCACCTGTCTGCTACCCTAAGATAGGGCCCTTCCCACCCTGCCACCAACTAGCCAATGACAGACCTCTAGAGAGCGTCTGCCACTTCTTATCTAGCCTTATAACCCGGAGCAAATAAATCTATCTTGTAAGACATGATTGCCAGTGTGTGTGGATGTGGCCAGAGCAGCAGGCGTGTAGGCAGGTATGGGGACTGCACTCCCCTGCCAATGCATCCTAGTTGAACCTGGGTGTGTGCCGAGGCCACTACCCTAATACTCTACAAACCTGTCTTGTCCCTAGTCTCACTCACAGGGGATTTTACCCATCTGTGCCTATGTAGCAATGCCTGGTACTCTGAGGCCCCAGTGAAAGGAGAGATATGGCAGGGCTCTGGATGGCCAAGGAGTCTAGCAGACCCTGCGTGGCTAGAAAAGGAGTCTCAGGCCTCAGTTCCATGGATATAGATAGCCTATTGGACCCACCCTCTCACTCCTCGGGTCCCAGCGTAGGATAGATCGTGGAGATGGTGGCAGTAGAGCCATGGCCCCATGAAGCAGAGTTCAGGGCAAGTGCCGCTCACCTCCCAGGCTCATCTGTGCTGTCACATGCTCCTTCTGCAGATGATCGACCAGGGCTTGATCCTGCAGGACGGGTCCTACTTCCGAGACCTGTGGAACATCCTGGACTTTGTGGTGGTGGTTGGTGCATTGGTGGCCTTTGCTCTGGCGTAAGTGGCTCTTTTCTTGCTCAGTTCCCTTCCCTCCCCTCTTCCTGGAGTCTCTGGCTAATTTGAGGCCTTCTCTAGAGGGAAGGGGAGACACACAGAGAGTGTTGCTCAAGAGTGCTGCCCTGTTGTCTGCTGCAGAGCTCCGGACAGCCTTGCGGCTCTAGCTCCTGTACCCCAAGTGGCAGGAACCGGAGGATGAGGAGGGCAAAGTCCAGGCCCCACGATCCTTTCTTGGAGATAAGTGAGCTTAGACACTGGCTGCGTGGGCAGTGCTTCCACGCGCCCAGGGGCGGACCCAGAGACTTCTGATTTCTATGCCTGTTCACGCCTATGTCTGTCAGTTAAGGAAGCAGCTTGAAAGGAAAAGGGATGCAGAGGGTAGAGCAGAGTTGGGGATCACAGGGTTAGGCATGTGGGGCTTTTCTGCCCATGAGCAGAGGTAAACAAGAGCTTCTGCACATATTAATATGCTTAATCTCCAAAAGGAAAGACTTTGCAAACCTTCTTTGGTAATACACTTAGGAAAACAGTCTTAAGCCATTCAGCCAACTAAATCACGTTCATTACGTTTGGGTTTTTTTTAATTCACACACCAATCCAGCTGTAGCAGGTTTTCAGTCACCTTCTAACACTTCCTGTGGAATTCAGACAAGTGAAGGGCTCTTCTGGCCCTCCAGAGTATAGCTGGGAAATAGAGATGCTTGTTCCTAACCAGATGTGTTCAGTGCCCCAGTGGGATGAATGACAGCCTTGGGGCTCTGTCTGCACTGTGCTCCATCCTCAGCAACCTGATCCTCTTCCAGGTGGCGTGATAGTATTCCCTGAGATGCCCCTATGCCTCTCTGAATATGGGGGGGGGGGGGCATGCCAGCTAAGCAAGGCTGAAAGCACCAGGCGGCAGAAGGAAAGCCTTTGGGAGCTGCTGTCACTGATGGCAGCTGCAAAAGGAACAAAATACCTCCACAGGTTTGCCCGTCCCTGGTTAGGAAGGGATCCTGCATCCCACCTTGTCCCCAAGCACCATGTGCTTCCCTCACTCATCCTTACTGGCAGAAGAGGTGGGTGAGACTTAAGAAGGCATGTTCCTCACGTGACCTAGGGCAGGAGGCCTCTGTCTGTCAGTAGAAGAGGTGAAAGGAGAGCCCCACAGGAGAGCAGAGCTGCATATGGTATGTGACCCTGAGATGGGCTGGCAAGTGCGGTAACTCCAGGATCCCTTGTCCCTGTGTGCAATAGTGTGCTCACCCATTCGAGTCATGTGGAATCACTTTTGCCCCTCCCGAAAAGAAAGCTTCCTATTGGAGCTAGTTGGATGGTCCCGGGGAAATTTCACAAAAGCTCGGTATTTTCTCATCCGAGCCCTGTCCAGATTCTCACAGCAAGATGAAAAGAAAGGCAACTCTGGCTCTCCCAAGGGGACCTCCAGGTCCTCCTCTTCTTGGAAAGATGCATTAAAGTCTGCCTTTGTCCTTAGTAGAACCACCTTTTTAATTAGAGATAAATATTATCTGGGTTTTTAAAAGGTCAAGTTCCCTTCTCATCTTATCAGTTTCATTTGCATACATTAGTCACTATATTATTATTCTTATTTTGATCTTACCAAAATAATTTGTCTCTCTTTGAAGGCTAAAGGCCAAGGAGAGAGAATCATCTAGGAAAATACCTACTGTGTCCCTAGGAAGAACAGATCCCTTTGGGGTGACAAGGCAGAGAGGCCAGAGAGGCAGGGTTTGTGGAGTCAGCCAGGCCCTCACTTAAGTCTCGGCCCCTCCGTGTTCCAGCGCTGTGTTCTCAAACCACACAGTAATATATTAACCTTTCTAATTCCAGTTTCTTGCCTCTAAAATGGAGATAAAATAATGTACTTAAAGTGCATAGCACAGAGCCTGACAAAATGTGAGTGATCAACGAATGTTCATCCCCTTCCTTTTTCCATTCTCCATCACATCAGGAAGTCCAAATATAGGAGCACAGTGTGTACTGATGTACAGTGCATGCAAAGAGTTGGAAATGTGTGCGGCTGGTCCAAGAGCTCATTGGACCACACCCCACACACACCTGTGCCTGTGTACCTGGTAACCAGGCCTAAGTGTTGGGGCCAGTAAGGGGAAGGGGTACATCTTATTTTATGCTATTTTATGTTGCATTGTTTTATTTTCTTAGAGGTAAGATCTCGCTATATTGCCCAGGCCGATCTCCTGGCATCAAAAGATCCTGCCACCTCATCCTCCCAAGTAGCTAGGACTGCAGGTGTGTGCCACCACGGCCAGTGTAGGAGCTGCCTTCTAGAGGAAGCCTGTTCACACCTGCCCCACGTCCACAGTCTAGCTGTCTCTCCCCAGATCCAGAGCAGTGATGACATGCTGTAGGTTGTCATTTGTCTTGTTCTTTCTTTGTGCCCTTTGAAACATGGCGGTGGTGGCTTTGGTGCTGGTGGCAGGGGAAACCTTAACAGCCCTGGAGCTGAAGCCTCTCTGTTGGTCCTCAGACCAGGTACAGTGCAGGGGACGCCAGGAGCCCCTTGTTCTGGGGTCTGGGCTTATGTGATGGATTGAGGGTTATGATCCATCACTTGCTTTCAGTGATGTCATCTCTTAGACTCTCTCTTCATTTCTCACTGAAATGTAGATGGACTTGCCTACCCTCCTCCATCCATTCTCTCTTTTGTCATCATCCCTCCGAGCTTACCATGCCCATTCCCGCTTTCCTTTCTCTGCTCGTGGAATAGACCCCCACTCTCGCCTCCTCTGGCCACCATCAAGTTCGCGGAGGCCCAGGTAACGCTTCCTCTCACTCCTATGCCGTGCTTCCTACCTCTGCTCTGCCCCTCTCCTCATGAGTGGCTCCAGAGAATTCAGCTCGCCCATCACTTTGATAGGGTTAGCCAGAGCTCCACCTGCCAGCAGAGAGAGGGTCTGACCTGGGGCAGAGGGTGGGGTGAAGTCCCTGAGCCTGTGCGCTTCCTGGCCAGGGGGCTCAGGTCAGCAGGAAGCTGAATGTGAGTTTGTCTGCAGGCTTAGTAAGTGTCTCTCTCCTCAAGGTTATAACTTTCATTGTCATGTCTGTATAATCCCATGTATTTGCCCCTGTGAATGTCCACCCTTCAGATATCCTTACCCCTGTCCCAGTCTCTTTCTGTCCTTGAAATTGAACCTTGCCTTGCTCAGGAGGCTTCTGCAAAGGCTATTGTTTAATCAACTTGAGCTACGGATGGTGGTTGCCATAGTAGCATCTTTATGTGGCTCCTCAGAAACCAGAGGTGACTTGGCATTCCTTCCACCACTGCCAGCCAGAGCCATCTCAGCACTCAGTCCAACTCCCAAGAGCAGTGCCCTTCCCAAGGGGAGGGGATGACCTCTAGCTGAATTCTCAAAGAAAGCTGCATTGTCCCCCAAGTCCTTCCCCTGCAGAGGTCTGCACCTGCCATCATGTATGTTTTCTATAAGCATATATGTTGTTTATGTAGTGACTGGAGAGAAATCTGTTCTCCACAGCTACATATGTCAAATAAAGCGATTCTTTATAATGTAAACCTGACAAATTCTGTTTGGAAACTTTATAGACTTTGAGGAGGAAGGGGATTTATTTTATATGTGTGGACATTACCACTGGGTAAAAAATAAATGGAAAGATATTGCAACTTTTGTGTTCTTTTGCACCCACTTTTACATTATAAAGCATTTATAAGAACACTCGTCTCCTTCCTAAAGCCCAACCTCTCTATAGGGAGGTGGGCAGAGTTTTGGCAAAGTTTGGGTTCAGCACTCCCTTATTCCACCACCCTACAACACCCCACTTACTGGGCCACGTGGAGACGCAGAGTGTTTGCCAACTATAAATGTCCCCAGGTGTGCCTTTTCTACTTTGAGGTTTCAAGAAAAGTCTGGTGAGTGGCTGAATCTATGAAACCTTTCTCTCTTATATTTTTCTTTCTGATGAAACGGCATTCTTCTGTGTGATAATGATTTTCTACTGAAGGACCAGAACCTGCTTTTCCCGATTTCCTCACCCCCTGTTGCCATCTCTTCTGCTTCCCTGCCTCCCGATAGGAGGCTAGAGATGGTTACAGCCTTGGCATTTCTGGGGATCTGCACAGCAGGCACATTCCCTCATTTCCACGTACCCCCAGGGTCAGCTGCCTTGTAGGGGAGTCAGGCCACCATGCAGACTGCATTCATAAGCCTCGAGGGATCCTGCACAGTGAAGATGTGTCTTCAAGCGTCATGCCTTTCACGTGGACAGGCAGGTGGCCAGGGACCACATCTCAGAGGGACAGTGCAGGAGGGGACAGAACTGACATGTGTGTGAGAGGCACCTGCAGCCCTCCCAACCCAGGCCCCTCACCCTTTGTGTTTCCACTGCCCTGCAACGTGTGACTTGCCTTGCTCAACTGAAATCAGCATTGAATTCTAGGAGTAAACTTGCAGCTTATAATTGTTTGTCAGCACAAATGGCTTAGGAGAAAAACAACTAGCAGTTCTGCTCCCATCTCCTCCCCCACTTTGGGACTTACCAGGGCCTGTACATCAGTCAGAGTCACACTGGTGGCTGACGCCAGAGCTTCTTGTTCCCGATTGCCATCGTAGCAGGGCACAAGGTAAGGGCAAGACTCGCTGGCACTCAGGGGATCTGGCTGCCAGCCACACTTGGCCTTTCATTATCCAGTCCTTAGCCAGAAATGAAAAACATGAGTCAATCTGCCTCTTGATGCCAGAAGGAACTGGAGTTCCCACATTAGCTTTTATTACCTTCTTTTCATTGAAGTATGTCACTTTCCTGACACTTGACACCCTGCCCTAGTCGCTGGGATGGATGGGGTTTAGTGAATGCATACAGAACCAGCCACAGCAGCAGAGCTACGCACACAGGCACAGATGATATTAGGTTTGGAAAGTTCCTAAAGAGCCGTAGAATATCCATGGAAACAAGAGAGCAAATGTCTCCCCCTAACCCTGCTGTCTTTCCCTCCTGTCCTTGGCCACCTGTCTAAGGCAGTCCCC